CATTACAAGAACATCTTGGGAGGTGCAATAAAAAGGAAGTGCAACCAGTTGTTATTTCCTTGCGGACAATCTGTGCATTTTGTTGATATTTGCCACTGTGGTATATCCACTGAACATCAAATTAAAGTGCTCTAATACCTAATTTAATGCTTTTTCTTTTGATCCCCCAGTGATCTGCAGCATTAGAAACAAAAAGAACCTGTCACTATGGGAACTGCAATAAAACTTTCTGATGAAGGGTCTAGGCCCGAAACGTCAGCTTTCCTGCTCCTCTGATGCTGCTTGGCCTGCTGTGCTCATCCAGCTCTACACCTTGTTATCTCAGTTTACCCAGGGTCAGACAGGATTATCACATCATCCCAAACCTCCCCTCCGTCCCAGAGGCTGGGAATCCTGCAGCAAGTAACTCACCTCCTGACTCCCCCCAAAGCCTGTCCCGCCATTGACAAGGCACAAGTCAGGAGTGGGATGGAATACTCCCCACTTGCCCCTGGATGGGGGCAGCTCCAACAACACTCAAGAAGCTCGACACCATCCAGGACAAAGCAGCCCCTGCTCGATTGGCACCACATCCACAAACATCCCACTCCCTCCCCCATCGACGCTCAGTCGCAGCAGTGTGTACCATCTACAAGATGCACTGCAGAAACTCGCCAAGGCCCCTCAGGCAGCACCTTCCAAACCCACGGCCACTTCCATCCAGAAGGACAAGGGGCAGCAGATACATGGGAACACCACCCCCTGCAAGTTCCCGTCCGAGCTACTCCCCATCCTGACTTGGGAAATATATCCCCGTTCCTTCAGTGTCACTCTCACCACCTCCAGCCCTTACACCTCCCCGCCTCCCAATCCCTGTAACCTCCTCCAGCCCCTACATCCCCTCCCTATCTCTGTAACCTCCTCCATTCCCTTACACCCTCCAATCTCGAGCACCTCCTGATTCCCATCGCTCCACCATTGGGGGCCGTGCCTTCAGCTCTCTGGGGTAGGAAGGCGAGTCCTGATCTCTGGGATTTACCCCAGAACCTCTCCATCTACCTTCTCTCTCTCTAACTCTCTCTCCACTCCTTTAAAAGGCTCCTTAATAAACTCTTGCAAGTCAATCATCCAAGTATCCTACATTTACCCAAGTGGCTTCGTTGGTACAGTTTTGAGATTTGTCCACGAGGCCAGACTTACATCTTCATCCCCGGGTGATGTAACCATGTCATTGAGTCATAGATGATACAGTCAGACAGCACGGAAACAGACCCTTCGGCCCAACCAGTCCGTGCTGACCATTATCCCAAACTAAACTAGTCCCCACCTGCCCGCTCCTGGCCCATATCCCTCCAAACCTTTCCTATTCGTGTCCTTATCCAAATGTCTTTTAAACGTTGTAACTGTTACCCATATCCACTTCCTCTAGGTTTATTCCATCCTCTGCATGAAATAGTTGCCCCTCAGGTCCCTTCTAAATCTTTCCCTTCTCACCTTAAACCTATGCCCCTCGATTTGGTCTCCCCTACTCTGGGGGAAAAGACCTGGTCTCTTCACCCGATCTTCCCCCTCATGATTTTATAAACCTCTATAAGGTCACTCCTCAGCCTCCGATGCTCCAGGGAAAATAGCTCCAGCCCATTCAGCATCTCCCTGTAGCTCAAACGCTCCAACCCTGACTTCAGTCCTGATCCAAAACGTTGACTCTCCTGCTCCTCCTCTACCTGCTGTGTTCCTCCAGCTCCACACTGTATTGACTCTACTTCCAGCATCTGCAGTCCTTGCTATCTCCAACGTCCTTTTCAATCTTTTCTGAACCCTCTCCGGTTTAATAATACCCTCCCCATAGGAGGGCGACCAAAACCGCACTGTTTGAATTGGAGGCTTCAGCTTCTAAACCCCTACAGCACAGGGAGAACCGTTTCCAAAGGGAGACACGAGAGCTGCGCTGGGTGTTCATTATTAACAGGAGGGAGAAGGAACAAAATTGACATACCATAATATTCTGTGTTTCCCCATCCCGTGACGCTACACAACGCCCCATCAACAAGCCTCTGGCCAATTGCAGGGAGACAGAGCGGCTGGATGTAATCTAGAGAGAAAACAATGGAGCCTAGACCAACAACTCACTGAAAGCAGTCCCTCCAAAATTCTAATGGTCACCGCAGCCGACAAAAGAGGTGAGTAGACCAAGAGTCCTTTCTCTGTATTCAGAACCAATACATGAACACCATAGAGCTGTACAGCATGGAAACAGACCCTTCGGCCCAACTCGTCCATGCTGACCAGGTTTCCCCAGTGTGAACAGACGGCACGGTGGCTCAGTGGTTAGCACCGCTGCCTCACAGCGCCAGCGACCCGGGTTCGATTCCCCCCTCAGGCGACTGTCTGTCTGTGTGGAGTTTGCACATTCTCCCACCATGTCTGCGTTGGTTTCCTCCCACAGTCCAAAGATGCGCAGGTGAGGATGGATTGGCCATGGGAAATTGTCCCGTAGTGTTCAGGGATGTGTAGATTTAGGGGGATGGGTCTGGGTGGGATGCTCTGGAGGGTTGGTGTGGACATGTTGGGCTGAAGGGCATGTTTCTACATTGTAGGGATTCTAAGAACTCATTGCATTTGACCCATATCCCTCTAAACCCTTCCCAGCCACTATCAAAGCCCTCACTATTTCAAAAACTTCCATAAGGTCGCCTCTCAACCTCCTACCCTCCTCTGAAAGAAGTCCCAGCCTATCTTTATAACTTTACTACCATCTGGTCCAAATCCCTCTAAACCCTTCCTATCCATGTCCCCATCCAGATGCCTTTTAAATGTTGTAATTGTACCAGCCCCCATCACTTCCCCTGGCAGCTCATTCCATACACGCACCACCCTCTGTGTGAAAAAGTTACCCCTCAGGTCCCTTTTAAATCTTTCCCCTCTCACCTTAAACCTATGCCCCTCTAGTTTTGGACTCCCCTACCCTGGGGAAAAGGCCTTGTCTTATTCACCCTATCCATGCCCCTCATGATTTTATAAACCTCTATAAAGGTCACCCCCCTCAGCCTCCGATGCTCCAGGGAAAATAGCCCCAGCCTATTTAGCCTCTCCCTGTAGCTCAAACCCTCCAACCCTGGCAACATCCTTGTAAATCTTTTCTGAACCCTTTCAAGTTTTGAAGAAAAAAATGGGGCACAATTTATACAAAATGAAGAAAAACAGGCTACTGTGTTAACGACTTGACTCAGTTGGGTTGAGGCGTTGTCATGGAGATGAAGCAGGCAATGACGGTGGCCATGTTTGATTCAAAGACGGGACAAAGGGCCTGGCCATGTCCCTTTTGCCTTCGGAGGATGTGCCCCTGGAGGTGCGTGAACTGTTTCCACACGTGTCACCAACAGAACACAACTGATCACCTAGAATGAGGTAGCGTTGTTGCTGGCACACTCGGGATTCTTCAGAGAGCGCTGTCCATTTCCCAAATCATACTCAGGACTTGACGCTACTCTCTGGCATTTTGGAAATGAATTAAATGCTTTAAAGGACCCGATTTGAACAAAAAAGATTTCTGGGCCCAAAAAAAAGCAGAAGGGGCACAACCGCGAGAGGTTAATCCCATCACAAACCATTGGTCAGGTCCCAGCAACAACTTGGGTAGAGTAAATCCCGACAGTCTCTCTGTCCAGCCCCTGGCAGTTTTCTGACAAGACTGAACACAACAGGCCCAAGGTGGGGGGATAGCGGCTTCAGTTCATATAAAGATGAGACAACAGTCTGCATTCATATAGTGGCTTTGTTCAGTGAAGCTGTTGTAATTAGACAGGTATCTCACTCCGGGTCAGATCATGAGGTGTCAGGGAACATAACCAAAAAACTCCATCTTAAAGGAGCATCTTCAAAAAGGTGTAGGGGGCTGGAGGAGGTGTTACAGAGATAGGGAGGGGGTGTAGGGGGCTGGAGGAGGTGTTACAGAGATAGGGAGGGGGTGTAGGGACTGGAGGAGCAGGGTTACTGGAGGATTGGAGTGTACCTGAGAAGTTGAGTGGAACCTGCAGATGCATCACAGCAATGTCGTGACTGTTGTCCTCAGTACCGGGATCGAGGAATGGTTTGTAACCAGAATGATAAACAATCGTATCCACGGAGCTCTGCACTCCCATCGATGACTGCCGGATGGCACCAGTAAACACTGTCCACTGACTAACAAAACGATTCCTCCTGGAAACACAGACAGACACCTCACTCAGTCAGCCCACTCCCAAACTACTCCAAACCCATCGACTCAGAGATAGGGAGGGGGCGGAGGGGGTTACAGAGAGAAGGAGGGGGTGGAGGAGGTTACAGAGATAGGGAGGGGTTGGAGGGGGTTACAGGGATAGGGAGGGGCTGGAGTGGGGCGACAGAGATAGGGAGGGGCTGGAGGGACTGGAGGAGGTCACATTGGGTCCGATGAGCCGCATTTTACTAGACCCTGTCCGAACCTGAAGCGCCCCAATCCACATGGCCAATGGAGGACTACATGTGACATAACAAAGGAGGACCTGCAGCCAATTTATGCACAGCAAGATCCCATATTTAGGCCAGCCCGGTGGCTCAGGGGTTAGCACTGCTGCCTTACGGCACCAGGGACCTGGGTTCGATCCCACCCTCGGGTGACTGTCTGTGTGGAGTTTGCACATTCTCCCCGCGTCTGCGTGGGTTTCCTTCGGGTGCCCCGGTTTCCTCCCACAGTCCAAAGATATGCAGGTTAAGGTGGATTGGCCATGGGGAATGCAGGGTTACAGGACTAGAGTAGGAGGCTAGGTCTGGGTGGAATACTCTATGGAGGGTTCGTATGGGCCCAATGACCTGCTTCCACACTGTCGGGATTCTATGTATCTGAGAATGAGTGGGATCCTTAGTTTCTATATGGGATAAAAACCGAAAGAACTGCAGGCTTTGTAAGTCAGAAACAAAACC